TAAAAAACAAAATTGTTTGTAGGATGCAAATACAAGTGGTAAAGTTTCTCATTTAGCATTTGCATCACCAAAGCATAACATAGTGGTTCTCAAACTTATTTGATCGTGCCCCCATTGTGTGTGTCCCAGCTCTGAAGGCAGTGTCACTATCAGAGAAGTAGTAAGGGTGACAATAGCATACCATGCCACCCTTACTTCTCCGCTTCTGCCAGCAGCGGCACTACCTTCAGACTCAGAGCTGGGCATCCAGATAGCAGCCGCTGCTGCTCTTCAGCCACCCAGCAAGTTTTTTTGTTTTTTTAAACCCCCTAAAGCTTCTCATGCCCTCCAGAATACATTCTGTGACCCCTTCGTGGGACTCCCCCCAGTCTGAGAATCTCTGGCATAACATGATTTCCTTCAAGATATGTACACAGGTTCATCCTTACTCAATCACAGAAGTCACAGAAGGAAAAGGCCCTTTAAATCATATAGCCCATCTCTCTGCCAGTGCCACGCAGTTCCCTATAGCATATTCCATAGTGTTTTGCTCAGTCTAATTTTGGGAATCCCAAGCACAGAGGTTTCCAACACTTCCTTTAGAATTATTTGCACTCTAACAAATATACTGTCATACGATCAGCTTGCAAAGATTTAATGTTATATCTTAGCTAGGAAGTCATTTTTGTTTGTAGTTAGTACACTCTGAAATAAAAATAGCAAATTGTTAGTCCAGTTAGCTTCAAAAAACAAAGTGATATAATTCTCAAAGGCTTCCTGCTCAAAACTCCCACTTAGCATAATGTATTAAAATAGAAACTGCAATACAGAATGTTCCAAAATTATGTATGTTATTATAGCCATTTACTGAAGTGTAATGTGTTTATTAATTTCCTGAAAACCTTGCATACAGGAATCAAAGCATTACTCACCATTCTGGGAAGTATTTCAAGTTGAAAGTAAGTAAGTAAAGATACAGCACCTATCTCTGCTCAACCAGCTATAGAAGAGCTATCCAATAGCTCTTCTACTTATAAGATTCCAAGCAGTTGCAAGCTATTGAGTCAGAAAAGTGGAAAATCCCTAGTAATAAGCATGTGACCTAAGGGAATCTATCCCAGTGGCTTGTCTTGTTAGGGTGGGCAGGAGATAATTTTTAAACCAATTTAAGTATTGGTATGAACTCAGTTTCACAAAACAACAAAAGTACACTTTATGAGCAAATCCCTTTTCTGATGCAACATCTTGCAACAACTGGAATCTTGAAGTTCCATGTTAAAGTCATTAAGAAACCACAGTTCATCACAATTCAGATTCATGAAATCCATAAATGATGTTCAAGCATATTTATCTCAGTTTAAATACGCTATGGAATCAATCTTTTTTAATGGGATTCTATATAATATTTTGGCTTCAGACACACAATGACAGCACTGCAACAGTTTTACACTTTGTTGATGCTTGGAAGGTTGTATCTTTGTAAAAGCTAGAAAGTTTGGGGGAAGGAGGTTGTTTTGTTTTTTAAATAGAAGTCTAGGATTCTGCAGAGGTTGGTAGCTATAGAGCTCCACTGGGAAAAGAAAAGTTTAAGCCTTTTTTTAACAAGATGTACACTTAAAATTCAAAAAGTGACAAGGTAAAAAGCATAACGTGTTTTCCGACCCCAAGATGTTGTGAAATAATTTCACGCTCATTTCTCTCTTTTTAAAAAAAAAACAATTGAAATTAAATATTTTTGGAAGTTATTCTACATTTTCAAATATATTGATTTTAATTGCAACACAGAATACAAAGTGTACAGTGCTCATTTTATATTATTACAAATATTTGCACTGTAAAAATGATAAAAGAAATAGTATTTTTCAATTCACTTCATACAAGTACTGTAGTGCAATCTCTTTATTGTGAAAGTGCAACTAACAAATGTAGATTTTTTTTAATGTAACTGCACTTAAAGAAAACAACATAAAACTTTAGAGACTCAGTCCTACTTCTTGTTCAGCCAATCGCTAGGACAAACAAGTTTGTTTACTTTTTCAGCTAAAAGTGCTAACCCTTCCTGATCCACAAGGCCCTCAGTCCCCACAATTAGAGAGCTTTCTACG